ATATATATATATTCTTGATTTTTTTGCTTTTTGCTTTTTGTTTTTTTTTTTGGTACTGGGGATCAAAGTCAACACCTTGCGCTTGCAGGAAGACAATGGCACTACTGAGCTAAATCCCCGGCCCGGGTTTTCATATACAAAAGTTATAACTTGTGAGTACCTGAGGAATGATGTAGTCTGATAACTTCATTGTGCTATTTTGATGACAGTTTTATAGGGCTGTGGTAAATAATTTAGTAAATATGGTATCATACCAATGTGGAAGAATCCTGAATATATTTAACACTGTATGTAGTCATAAAATAAAGTTGATACTGAAAGTTTTAGCCTAAAAATCTTACAAAGATTTTCTTAGGGAGATGCACATCTATTAAGTCACAGTGGATTTCCAAACTATGTAAGAATTATGTAAAATCTTTATTATGTAAAAATCACAAAATATTGCTTGTCACATAAAATTTAAGTTTAGTAAATTCTGTTGTTTGAAAATGCTAATTACTATTTCTGCCAATGAATTGAGAACTCAACTAGTTTTTGAATTATTACAAATTCTAATTTCATATATTTAAAGTCTATGAAATCTTCATTATTCTCATATGTAGATTTTAAAAAATAATTTAGTTTCCCCTTTGGAGGAGATGAACCTTTCATAACTCTAGTTAACGAGCTAAAAAAAGTAGCCCTTCGGAAATCCCAATGATCTAGCCAGCTGCTTGAAGCTGCTACTAAATTTAATTAGAAATACTGCTTTATACCAGTTAGAAATATGAATGTTGAATGTAACATTTAAAAAATTCAAGAATCTACGTAATTACTCTTTTTGAGCTGAAGCATGGCAAAAAGCTGGAAGAATTACTAAATTGCTGCTCCTACTCTTTCCTTGCATTCTTTTCTCCAAAAGCATGAGTTTTAAAGAGTGAATTTTACTCTTAAAATATGCAGTGCCATCTTCCCAAGGAAAAATCAAATGGTTGCTCAGCTTGCTGGTGCAGTAAGATATAGGAATTGAAACCCAGTGCTCCTTCACCCACAAAATAAAGAAGTATGACAACGTGCACTAGAATTGTGTGAAAATAAAGACAGCAAAAAGGAACCAGTGATAACTACGGTCCTGGGGTGGCAACGAGGGGATGACAACAGAGTGAAGTTCAAAGTCAACATCCGCCTTTTCTGAAACAGAGTTAGAAAGTGGAGGCCTAGGGTCCAGCACCACATAGGTAAGGCCAATGTGGCAGAGAAAAGTAAAAGCATATCCGATTGCTTATTCGTTAATATCAAAACTGAAATATCCGCTTTCTCCCCACCAAGGCACCAGAAATGGGGCTGTTGCACTGCGCACCACATTCGGGGCCATAGCTCGTCACAGTGTTCATGCACAGTAGACATTAGCTGGATAGAATGAAAGTTGGCAAACAGAACATGATCTGTTACAAGAGAAGCCAATGAAGGGCATCTGAGCTTCTACAGCACTAAACTTGACTGTGATAATTACTTTTGGAGCCATTGAAATTCAGTGAGTTAGAGAGAAGAAGTATCTCCAAAGCCCTTGACTCCTTATCTCTCTGGCTACACACAAAGGTAAGTCCTTCCAAGCCATGTCCCACTTCTGTCCACTGAATGTTTTTATACATAGTTTTATTGGGGCACAAACTCAGCTTTTGGGTTATAAAGTTTTTAGAGCTATGTTTGTAATACAACAGAGTAGTCCGGTAGTTGCTGCTGAGAAGTATGGCTACAAAGACAAGTACTTGCTATGTGGCTCATCTCAGAAAATGTTTGTAGATCCCTGTCTTAAAGCATACAGAATAATGCTTAGTTAAATATAGTGTTATGAATATTGACAACAATGAAAACAAATTTTACACAATAAATCACCCATGCAAGGAACAACATAATTAAAATATATAAAGAAAGCAATAAAATATTCACAATAAAATGAAAGACTTTCTTGGCCTGCCATTAAAGCTCACTTCTTCTGTGGACAAAATTTCTCATTTGAAAAAGAAAAATTTGCAGTTAATGTCATATGATAATTCATCACTAAAAAGATTGTGTCAAATGCTTACAGCTGCCAAAAAGATTTTGAGTCTCTGACTTTTTACTGACATGAAAAAAATAATTTATTCATAAGCAGCTTTAAACAAAGACCTAGCTGATTAGTGAGCTCAAACTGACCTGACCAGCTTACTGATTATAGTCCAACTTCCTGTGTCATAAAATATCTTATTAAAAATTTTTGTAAAACTCTTATGTGAATCATCACCAGCAATATTATTTTCTCACAAGATTAAAGTTAATTCCCATAGGGAAAGTCAAAAGCTTGATTCATCTTCATTTACTTTTGATTTATTTTTGCAAGTTTTAGCATTTTGAAGTTTTTCTAAATTATCCAGCTCAAGTTTGACCCCAAGAGTCTTTTTAAAAACCACATTTAGATTGTTATAAATGAATTAAGAGCTAAGTGTTAACTTCACATATCTACTAAAAATAAAAAATAACATGATAGCGCCACTAAAGAAAGAATTAAACAATTCCTAAATTGATATACTTCACACAAATCACAATTGCTGAATTATAAATGAAAACACAGCAATGAAAACATAAACATGCTTTTCCCAACAGAATAGCTGTACAGGAAATGATGTTAATGCTATAATAAAATTATATTGTGAAATAGTCATAATTTTGATGCATTTTTACCTGACAGGAAATTGAGGCTTGGGAATTCAGTGCTTCAACTAAATTACTAGCGGCCCATGTTGGTGCCTGACCTCCAGTGACAGGAGCAAGCTGAATTCATAGATTTTATTGGTATTTTGATATCTTAACAGTCCAACAATAAAACCAGCGATTTGTTGAGAGTTTCACATTTAGGGTTGAATGAATTGGTACCTCGACCTAATTTCTACCTTTCTACAGATGGAAGAGCCTACATACAATCAGGTAAATTAAATTTTAGATCTCTTTGTGGTAGGCATGTATAGTTAAAGTTCTCTGCTTTTATATTTGAGTTTAAGGCAAAGCAGCCTTTTTCATTCCAGCCTTATATATCTTAAAATGATCTTTAATAACTCCCCATCCCCACCCCTACCAAGGCTTCCTAGCTCCACTAGAACAGCATTTTTTTGCTTGATTGAAAAAAAATCTGTCACTTTAAAAATAAGTTTTGTGAAGGCCATAGTGTTTAGATACCTTTGAAAAATTTTAAATTCATTTGTTTATTTCAAATACCACATTTTCTTAGTTTTTGCTACATGCAAAGAAAATTAGGCAGCAATAGACTTGGTGTGAAGGGTAAATTAAGGGCTGAAGGTGTAGGGGAAGTGGGAAGGGTAAGGGAAAGGAAATAAGAGAAAAGAAAAAAGTACAAGAAAATGAAAAAATGGAAATAAACATTTGTAAATACAGAAGGGAGGAGGGGGTGAAGGGAGGGCAGGGGTATGGGGAAAAAATGAGAACCAGGAGCTGTCATGTAAAGGTGCAAGATCCCAGTGATGAATGTAACTGTACTGTATGCCTAACATGTACCAATAAACTCAATGAGAAAAAGAAATAAATAAAAACAATCAAGATGGAAAAAAAAAAAAAGAAAAAAAGAAAAAAAAGAAGATGATGAGGAAACAATCCAGAGGCAGGGACCATGTTAGGACAGCTGATGGAATCATCCTGGTAATAAGAACCTAGACCGATGTGGTACCACTGAGGAGACACATGACTTTCAGTCTTCTGTGTCTGCAGAGACGTGTGAGTACTTGTTAGCTTCCATGACTAGCTGTGCTGGCAAAGCACTTTCATAACAGTATTTGGTTGCTAAAGGCCACCGTCCTTGTAATCTTTAGGCAGCACAGCAAGCACAGGCAACCCAACCTTCCTTAGCCATTTCCCATCCCAGTTTTACCCCTTCTTTTTTGCGTAGTGTTCTAAGGCTCTCCCCTCACTTCCCTAATTGCCCTTCTCCAAACTAAATAGTCTTTAAGTACAGTAATATGGATACTACAGTGTTTGTATTGGATTAATTTGGATGTTAATCATTCAAAACTAATCATTTTGCTTCAGAACGTGGCAGTCATTCTTAGAACTCTTTTTACCGAGCCAGAAAGTTATTAGAAATATTTTAGGC